TATGTTAATTGATTATGGAATCACCTGAATCTATATGTTCAATTATGTGTTTATGTGAATCGTTCGTTGAGCATGTATATTATTTGATTTAATTTCACGAGCATGCTATGATGATTTAATTTATGTTATTTAAATTAATTATATATGCGAGCATGTTTGTTGGTGATTGGAAACGAAAAGGTACGTAGTTAATTGTAATTATTGTGCACGTGTTTGTTTATATAAATAAAATAAAAAAATTATTTTCCGCTGCGTACACGTGCACGATCCCCAACAGTGGCGTCAGAGCTACAGTTGCACGGTTGCGCAAATAATTGCCTATGTGTTTATTGTTGTCGATTGTATATGAATAGTTTATTGAATTTATTGAATTGGTGAAATTGGAATTGGGTTTGTTTAATTTTAATTTGATTTTAAAATTGGATTTGATCGATTTTAAAATTGGAATTGAAAATTGGATTTAAAATTTAAATTGGATTTGAATTTTAAATTCCAAAAATTAGTTTTAGATAACTGTCCGGATCAGACAGCTCGGTCAGGCTGGTCCAATCGGCTCAACCGGGTCTGACTAGTTCAGACACCCGGAATATATATAAAAAAAAGGTTTCTTTTTCTAGAAATTTAAATTAAATCAAAATTAATTTTTAATTTTTTGAAATTATTTATCAATTATAGTCCAATCCAAATATTTGATCAATTAATCAATAATGTTCAATAAATGAGTACTTGATTATTAATCAATTAAAATATAAAATTAATTTCATTAATAGAACACATGTATAATGGTGATTATACTTCAACTTAATTAATTATACTTTAATCTTATTTTATTGATTTACGTTGATTAATGTCCTTTAATTATTTTGAAACATAACCTCATAATTAATTATTTAAATTAATTATAATTTAGTTCGAATGTTCCTCTTAGGCCAATATACGTTTCCATATACCTTTAGAGAACGCAGTTGTAGGAATCCAATCAAGCTGTCCAATAATTCTGATGAGATAGCAAAAAAACAATAATAAATCCCTCATTCTTAATTTATTAAGAATTATTTCAAGCTGTAATGAAAAATCAATCTGTTGAATTTTTCTTTCCTTCTACCAACGGTTAAATTATGTGTAGCCCCTTGCAATAGTGCAGAAGCCGTGTTAGTAGGGGGTGCTAATGTAGGGCCAACTGTAATTTAATTGACATAATGATGAAGGTAGCCATAGAAAGGGTTATGCTAGATAAACATGGTCGGCTAGATTAACTAGGGGCTGCATTAGTTTGGTATAATCTGTTCTATGAGCCTTTGATTGGTAGGTTAGACTTGACACACGAAGATTTTAAATTCGCGAGATTAACGTAGGTCATTATCAAGTGTGAGGTAAATATATTTGTAGGGTCATATAACGATATGATTGATGCAGATCTACCTTTAGACAAATGGAACTGGTCTAGATTAACTATGGGTTACATTTTCCTATTGGACCTAAAGCCTATTAAAAGAAAAATAAGTTTTCTCTTTTGTCTACTAGAGGGTAGTGGAATTCGATAAAATTTAGTTCGAGTACAA